TTTATAGTTACTGGAACTTTTATTACGATTTCAATCTGATTATTTTTTGGATTCATTGCTCCCATTTATAAATTATTATGTGCGATATATTTATATGTTTTTAATCTACAAAACAACAAAGCATGTAACATATGCTCTTATGTTATGCGGTATGCTCTTTCACCTGATCGAGAAGCTAGGGTTACATCGATTGCTATCAATTATTTTCAAACATTGATATTTACCTCTACAAGAATATTTATCTTGACATAGGCTTTTGATCACTCCAACTTTCATTGGATACAAACTTGTGCTGCTTTTAATAGGTTTTGGAAAATTGGAAAACAATTGGTTATGGAGGTACCATAATTGAACAAGAACGTCAGGCTTGGAAGCTTCTCATTGATCTTGGTTCTCGTGAGGTAATCATTTGTTTGTGCCGAAAACTGCTAGTTTATCTTCAAAGTATTAACATTTCATATAACTCCCATGTCTAAATTTGTTTGTTCAACTTTTTATCAAGTGTTTCACTCATGGATAGTAAGAGATGCCAAGGCGTTAATAGAGGCGTTTTGTCGGTTTACGTGGAAGGTCTAATTATAGGTCTGCAGCTGTCTGCTGATCACATCTCTTGTAGAATTGTTGTGACAAGGGCTATTTTGAATATCTTAGTTTTCTTTATAGTAAATTTTAAGTCTTTGTCACCTTAATTATGAATTTTCTTTGCTACACTAATTTTCTTAGTGAGGACTTTCTTCTGTTTCATTAATTCTCTTTATATTTTGATGCAATATGTTTGCCGACTTCATTCTGATCCGGGTGTATTTCCAGATAATTTAGAAATTAACTGATCTTGAGTCCTGGTTTACATAGCTTATAAACAATTGGTCTTGCGGCAATATATTGTGAACACAATTCCTTTGTTAACTCTCTTCTCGTAATTGTTGAAATTAAGTCTGTCCAGGCTTTATGATTTGTTATTTGGGTTTAGCTTCAAGATTGATTGAAATAATATAATGTTGAATTTTTGTTTACATGTAAATTCTGGAATCAAAACTGTCCATAGCGGAAGAAATATCTTGGTCTCAATGATTGATATTTATATTTTCCCCCCTGGTATTTGAATTATGTCCATAAATTCTCTGTGCCCCTTCTCATTTCGTATTGCTTATTCGTCATGGCACTTTCTTCTAGATTGCCAATACTTAACAACATAAAATAGAAGAATATCACATAAATTGGTTCAATATGATCTTCTAGATTTATTCTCCTTGTAGGTTGGTGCTGTATTATTATTTTTAGGCTTTTTTGTAGTTTGCTTAGTTTAGTTTTTGAACTTTGGTATTTAATATTTATATACTTTGTATTGTAATCATACTTTACTGATATATATATATTATATATTATTAATATATATATTATTTATATATATATATAATATATATATATTATATATATATTATATTATATATATATATATAGCTTTGTTTTTTTGTTTTTGTTTTTGGTTTGCATAAGCATTCAAAATGAATGCTTTGCTATAAGAAGTTTGATGAGGATTGGGCGTTATACGACAGTGATTGAAGTATTTAACATTTGCAAATGGATGAGGATTGATGTTTGGGACCTATCGGCTGACGGTTTTTAAAAACATGCCAGTAGTGTTAGAATCTTGACATTTTTGTGGGAATGTAGGCATTCTCATTATAGTCTGTCGGATCTCACTAATTAGTTCTCATGTTAGTCTATGTGGGATCTCACTAATTAGGTCTTATATTAGTCTATGTGGGGATCTCGATAATTAGTTCGATGATTGTACCGAATCAGTTAGATATTTAGAATTTAAAAAATTAGGTGACCTTTTGGTTTACTATACAATTAGTCAGATTGCAGCAAATTAACTTCGTTCTTTTGCTTCTTTTGGGTGTGTTCTATATTTGCTTCCTTTTGGCATCATCGACGACTTCTTGTAATGTTGTCTACTTTTGCAGGGGCGATCATCGCGTTGTTAAACTGGGATTGACATTAGAAAGCAATATCTGATATCAGAGCGTCATACTTGAATTTCTCAAGCCTATCTTTAACTGAAATATATACTACTTCTGTTATATCGTTAACAGTCGACTTAACTTGTATTATTTTATTAGGTTGTCATCATTGAAATCAAGAGCGACTCTATTAAGAATTCCTGGTATGAAGCTCCTATTCAGTTCGGAGTTTTGACATCTTTTGCCTATCCCTTGAGAAGGGTTAGGCGAGAATTGTTGCTTGACCACCACCAGAATAGAAACGATGCTCGGTGATGTTGGCAATTTTGCCTATACATTCAAAAGATTCCGATATTCTCATCTACATGGGAAATTTGCATAACATCCTTTCAATAAGAGGAAAGTCCCAATAATCTGTGATGATATGCCTTGGTTGATTGCTAATTTGGGACAGGACGGCTGTTAAGGTATGCATGGTCACATTCAGGCAGGGAACTATGTGCAACTTCAACAAAAAATTATCGATTGCTAATATTTGCCTTCTGATTCATATATTATACTGGCTATGTTTATTGCTGTTTTTCTTACTTAGCTTATTTCTTTCTTTTCTTTTTTTTCTTTCTTTTTGCAGATTACTCCAGCTCAATCGTCCTAATGTTTTGAAAGTGTGGAAAGCCCGCCATATCTGAGTTTATCATATTTTATGATGAATGAAAGATAAATAGCAATGGGGGCCAGAGTTTTGAAGGGATTGCCACGATTTAAAGCTGATGTGGTGGTTTGAAGCTTTTGAGGAGAAGGTATTAGTTGTTACTGGCAATTTTATTGTCAATGCCACTAAGTGATTTTTCAGTAGTTCCTCATTTTTTTCTTGAATATTTATGACTTTATTCCTGAGTTGTTAGCAATTAAGAGAGCCACAAAGACAATAAGTGAACTGAAATTATATTGTATCAATGTTTTTTTGGATATACTTGGAATAAACGAATGCATACATCCTACTGAAGTTTCGCATGGTTATTGTGTAGACACTGACATCTAATTATAATATCTGTTCAACCTTCTTTCTATCTTCTAGCATTTGTTTTCATTGTTCTTGATTAAAGAAAAACGACATCCAAATTTATTTTGGTTTTTTTCTTGCAGCCAATTTTTCTACTGCACTGTATTAACCCGAAGCGCAGATCGACTTTTGTTTACTTTGTAAAATTTCCCCTTTTCATACATAGAACTGCTGAAGAATTTGAAATATCTCTATTCTACTAATCTTTTCAGATCGCTTGATTACATCAAATCGCAATTTAAACGCCTTCAAAATACATTGAATGCTTTTATGTTTTTACTTTATTTCCCTTTATTTTTTTGATCAATCATGCATCATCATATAACAGCGTCATATGAGAAAGCTGCTTATTAGCTTTTCTGACTGATCAACTATAAAATATATCATATATGGGTTGAATTGTTTTCTACAGAAATAGTATCAGCATCTAAAACCTTTAGATCTACTGCCTGTCTCATTTATTATCCTCATATGAATATCTTTGTACCTGAAACTGCACTATAGGGCCATGAGATCCGGGCAACACTTTTTGTGGACCTATTGGAATAGTTACAGTAACCTATTTCACCTTCTTATCCCAATATTCACTTGATGAATAGATGATTTCTGGCACTCCAGTTATAATGCGATATGATTAATTTTAAAATAAAGTATTTTGCTAATCTCCCTTCTTACCAAATGACCCTACTGTAATAGTTCCAAATTATTACTGAGAATGTCTTTTCTGTGAATCAGAAACTATATAGAGGTGCGCAGAAGAATGACATGAACCTTGGTATATGTTCGAGAAGTAATGATGTTGTGGAACCAATGGTAAAACCTCAGTGGTTTGTTGATTGTAATAGCATGGCAAAGGCAGCTCTTGATGCCGTTATAAGCAAAGAAGAGAAGAAAATTGAGATTATCCCGAAGCAATATGAAGCTGAGTGGAAGAGGTATTTTTTTAAATTTCTAATTAAGATGTTTATTCTTTTAGCATTTCTGCCACACTGATTTTTGACTTCGTTGCTTAGTTATTTATACATTTGGATTTTTTAGATGGCTAGAGAATATCCGAGATTGGTGCATTTCAAGACAACTTTGGTGGGGTCACCGAATTCCTGCTTGGTATGTAACACTGGATGATGACCAGCTTAGAGATATTGGTTCTTACAATAATCACTGGGTAGTTGGAAGGAATGAAGAGGAAGCAATTTCCGAGGCCAACCGCTTGTTCCCAGGAAAAAAGTTTGACATTGTTCAAGACCCAGATGTTTTAGATACATGGTTTTCATCCGGTATTTTCCCGTTATCTGTACTCGGTTGGCCTGATGTGACAGAAGATTTTAAGACGTTCTATCCGACATCAGTTCTAGAAACTGGACATGACATCCTTTTCTTCTGGGTGGCCCGCATGGTGATGCTGGGCATGAAACTAGGAGGCGATGTGCCCTTTAGAAAGGTAAAAAAATTATTGCCTATTGATAAACTAATATTTAAAGTATCGATGCACATGGAAAACAGTCAGGTGGTCATCAGCATAATTTAGTCCTTATAATAATAATAATAACAATACGCATGGAAAACAGTCAGGTGGTCATCAGCATAATTTAGTCCTTATCATAATAATAATAATAACAATAAGTAGGTAAAACGTTACATTAGCCCATGCCAAGAACATCATGCTTGCTGAGTGTTTCAAATATTCAAGGAGGTTCAAGGAGGTTTTGTGAAATAAGGGATATGGAAACAGAACCCCGTCGATCCGCGTGAGATCTCAGAGGTGTAAAGCTTATGTCTTGGCTAAAACGAGGCACTAGCTCTCCTTTGTATCACCGTTAAGGGCAACACTAAGGGAAAAGAAGGTGGGGAATGAAGAAGAAGACTCCTTTGCTGCAGAAGGCTCGCATATACTGATGAAGTAGAGTGATCTTATATGTTCTGCACTAAACTCATCTTGAAGCTTTATAGTCTTGAAATTGTATAGTATGCGGAGAGTACTCGAAGACAATGGATACAACGTAGTAGCGAGCAAGAGAACACAATTTGGGATTGGGCTAAAGAAGTTGAGAAAGAGGGGCTGATTAAGTTTTTGAGAAACTATATGAGACCTCAATCATTGACTGTGACCTAACTATCCATATTACTCAGCTAGGTTTAAATTTAATGAGCTTAGGATCTCATCCTATCAGTTCTCTCTCTGCATATATGTTTCTGATAAACTAGACAAGACCTCAATCTTTGATTAAGTTTCTGATAAACTAGATGAGACCCCAATCATTGATTGGGATCTAACTGTCCATAATACATTACTTAGCTTGCTTTAAATTTAACGAGCTCACTATCTCACTATTATCATTACTCTGAATGTTTTATCTGTGTGTATGTATGTTATGTATGCATGCATGTATGTATGTACATGCGTAGGTACATACGTATGTAGTAATGAGACATTGAGATGTTGAGCTGATTAAATTTAAAATAAGACGTGTAATTTTAGCCAATGAATTTCAATCCATGTTAGGGATTTCATTCAAAGATCAACACTTCCTCGATCCACTGCAACTGAGACCCCCTCTTCACTTCTTTCAATTCCTTTCGCTGCACCCTTGCCTCCGACCATGCCCTTCGCCCTTGGCATTGCCCCTTGTTTGACTCATCTTAGTTTTCTTCTTTTGCTCGGAAAGAGCAAATCTTGTTAGCACAAATATTTTATCATGAAAACTATTGAGAATGGAAAAAACTAATTTGGAGAATGGTTGAGGTAAATAAAACATTGTAGCACAACAGGAAGGTGGTGCGATACAACAGAATGAGGAATTAGGTACAAGGGTATAGTTTATGTGGTAAGCTAGGAAACATAGTACATTTTAGGTTCAATTTTAAATATAGGATTTGAATGGCTTAGTGTACAATTTTCTGCAAGAGTCATATTCAAGAATCAATGTTGGTAAAAGAATTATGAAGTTGCAATTAAGGTACACTTTTTTTGTTTATTTTTTTCGAAAATGGTTGCTTCTTTTAAAAATATTAACTTTTGAATTTAGACCGGGTACCGTAGGTGGCGAATCAGATCATGTTGCAACTTGACCCAATTCGCTAGTCTGCCATGTTCCGGGAGGATTGAACTTGGGTCGTGGTTCGATATAGGATTGAACTTGGGTCGTAGTTCGATATAGTGAGTTAGTGATACACGTTTCAGACATCTATGAAGAGGACTATATAGAGGGATTTTATTAACACTAATGTTTGATCATGAAAACTAATGAGAATGGAACAAACTATAGTGGATAAAGAAGACTCGGCATGAAGTTGAGAGAATAAAGATAAGTGAAGAAAGGGGAGTTGAGTTTTGAGTGAGATTCAAGCATTATTTAAGATCCAATGGTCAAGATTAATTGACTCGTCTTAAATTTTCTAGTCCATCATCTCACTCTATTGTTACTTTATGGATAAAGAAGACTCGAGATGAAGTTCTTGAGAGAATAAAGATATAGTGAAGAAAGGGGAGTTGAGTTTTGAGTGAGATTTAAGCAGTAATTAACATTCAATAGTTACTTGACTCATCTTAAATTTTCTACCCCATCATCTCACTCTATCATTATTGTTAAACAATAAAATATTATAGATTTTTATTTATATTTAAAAAGCTACAACTATTTTCCTTTATATAGCTATACAATAACAAAACATTTATTGTGTAGTCATATATATATATATATATATTATTCCTAATATAATTATAACATTATGGATTTTTATACTATATTTCTCAACACTCCCCCTCAAGTTAGAGCATGTATATTATACATGTCCGGTTTGTTACAAACAAGATGTACTCACTCTAATTTATGACACGACTTAAAATGTTAAAATCTTTTGTATGACCTTTCTCATTGTAGTTGTTTTTATCTTTTAGTCTTCTAATTGAATGTCTTACACCACAAACAAACTGAACTGAAATCACCAAATGCGATGCCTCGATCTTCTTCACAGATCGACCAGAGAACTACCAAACAAACTATCATCACCAGGAATTCGCCGAGCAAAACGATCCTCTCTAGAGATCCATCAAATAAACGACCCTCTTCACATATCAACCAAATAAACTACTCTCTTTACGGATTAACCAAACAAACAATTCTCTTCACGGATTAACCAAAAGAACGATCCTCTCTAGGGATCAACCAAACAAATGATTCCTTTTTAGGGATCCATCAAACAAATAAAGCCGAGAAAATAACCTTCATTGAACCAGACTCCAAACCAAATACTGATTCAATCAAAATCTTTTTTTCTGGTAGCTAATGGTGGTCAAGGTTTCTAAAATATAAGGTTTCTAAAATACAAGTGGTGATGGTGATGGTGTCGACAAGTTGAGTAGGTAATGAATCGACAAGTTGAGTATACGATGAACAAAGGGAAAGCGAGGCGGTACAAGCGATGTGAGAACATATACATCGAGGATGACTACTGTTATAAATGATGACAATCTTGATCACCAACAAGGCCATCGAAAACAGGACGGATAAGAATTTGCGGCACTGTTCATAGTGAACAATTACCGCAACACTACTCACGGTGATCGGTCATAGTAAAGAAGGGAGGTTGTAAGGCAGAGGGAGGAATTTGATGTTGAGGGATTGGGGGACTAGGGTCTGTGAGGATTTAGGGTATTGTGGAGGCTAGGGTTTGCGTGGCTATGATACCATCTTAATTAATAAAATATTATAGATTCTCATTCATATTTTAAAAATTATAAATATTCCCCTTTATATAGAGATACAATAACAATTTATTGTGTAGTCAATGTGAGACTAAACACGATTACCTAATCACAATATTTTCTTAGTTACATTCATAATATCTTTCAATCACCAAAGCTCTAATTTATACTCTAAATATATTATTACTAATATAACTATAACATTATAGATCTCCATAATATATTCTTTAACAATTACTTTATATATGTGTGCATGTGCGTATGAGAGAGATTGTCTCATTTAGAGAAAGTAAGCTACTAAGAGATACTGAGATAGGAATGAAGTCCCTTCTCTGATATGACTAGTAGGGAGCCTCATGGTTAATCTATAGATTGGCATCTCATCTAGTATTATGAACTGCCACCTCATGCTCATTTCCTCAACATCTGGTGTGGGTGTGTGCATGTATGTGTGTACGTATATAGATACAGATGAAGGGATAGATAGATACATGCTTACAGACACCCCCCCACCCCCAATAGATACATGCTTATAGACACACTAACACCCCCCAACCCCAAACAACACATACATGGATACATGGTAAGATTTTATGGCTGTGAGGTGGTAGTTCATTTAGCAAACTGAGTTTACAAAGGATTGAAGTGTGAGGCCCACACCTTATGATGTGATAAAAATGGCGAGCCTCATCACATGCGATCTCTTGGTAGCTCATTTAGCAAAACTAGCTGCATCTTATATATATATGGGTGGATGTGTGTAGGGTGGGGGCTTAGTTAATAAGCTTGAAGTTGGATTATCTTAAGAAATTAGCTTTTTGACGATTTCTATACAACATTGTTATGAGGAAGCACGTTTCCCCATCCTAAAACTGGGGTCAATCTTTGATTGGTTTGAAGCTAGTTCTATCAACATCTATGACTAATTTAATGATTTACTTCAATCTTTTAATCCATGTGGCATATAAATTCGTTTATGCGTTCAAAAGCCCTTATGGGGTTTGTTTTGCCAAAACGAGCTAGCTGAAGCTTTTTTATATTTAGGTTTACCTGCATCCTATGATCAGAGATGCCCATGGTCGGAAGATGTCCAAATCTCTTGGTAATGTTATTGATCCGCTTGAAGTAATAAATGGTATATCACTAGAAGGCCTTCACAAACGGCTTGAGGAGGGCAATTTAGACCCTAAAGAACTGGAGATAGCTAAAGAAGGCCAGAAAAAGGACTTCAAGGATGGTATTGCTGAATGTGGAGCTGATGCCCTCCGGTTTGCTCTTATCTCCTATACAGCCCAGGTTCTTTCCTATACCCTCTATTTTTCATTTTTTCGCCTATAGTTTATGATTTTTGTTGTTTTCTTTTCGCCTATAGTTTAACACCTACAAACTAAGTGATTTCTTTGTTTTCTGCAGTCTGATAAAATAAACCTGGATGTTCTAAGGGTGGTTGGATACAGACAATGGTGTAATAAATTGTGGAATGCTATACGTTTTGCTATGAGTAAGCTAGGAGATAATTATGCTCCTCCTGCGGCAGTTGCGGTAGATCAAATGCCATCTATCTGCAAGTGGATACTTTCTTCCCTGAACAAAGCTGTAGCTAAAACTGTATCATCTCTAGAAGCATATAAATTCTCAGATGCATCTACTGCAGTATATGCATGGTGGCAGTTACAACTTTGTGATGTATTTATTGAAGCTATCAAGCCCTATTTCTTTGACGAATCAAAGTTCGAATCTGAAAGATCAGCTGCTAGGGATGCCCTGTGGGTATGTCTGGACACTGGTTTGCGTCTACTCCATCCATTTATGCCTTTTGTTACTGAGGAACTGTGGCAACGACTTCCCCAAGCAAAGGGAACTGAGAGGAAAGAATCAATAATGATATCAGAATACCCTTCAGTTGTAAATGTAAATGCTGTTTGATAACCTTCCTTTGAGAATCTACAGAATTTTTTCCCCATGACCATTTAATGATAATCTATGAAAAAAATTTGAAGTTTCAATTTTTTTTGTGTTGCTATATGACATTTGCAGGCATGGACCAATGAACAAATTGAAAGTGACATGGAAGTTGTTAATTCTGCAGTGAGAAAACTTAGATCGATTCGCCCACAAAGTGACAAGAACGAGAGGTATCCAGGGTTTTGTCAGTCGATCCATTCTTTTTTTGGCTAGCAGTGTTATCTTGAGATACTTATCTCTTTGGAAAATGCTTTAATCTCATTTTGTTTTCTCCTCAGACGTGCAGCTTTTGCACTTTGTGGAGCAGATGATATTGCTAAACTTATTAAAGCTTATGAGTTTGAGATCGTAACTCTTGCTTCTCTATCTTCATTAAAGGTATGACCTCATACAGATAAAATAACTACAATAATTTTCCATAGACATGAGATTTTGCTGAGTAGAGTAGTACATGGGCCTATTTTGCAGCCTATTTTTCTTTCTGATTTAACCTTTTTATTTTTCCCCTATGTGTACAACAACTAGATCAACAACATCAACGACAACGACAACAACAACAAAGCCTTTATCCTGAATGTTTCGGGTCGGCTAAATGAAGCCTATTCTTTCATTTCGTTCGATAGTTGGCCTTTATTTTCGTCAAGTTAACCATTGTCATATCCTTCTTCGTTGTTTTTAACCGAGTTCTCTTAGGTCTACCTCTAGATCTTTTTGCCTCTATTATTTATAATATTATCACTTTTTCTAATCGGTGCATTAAGAGGTCTATGTTATACATAACCAAACCATCTTAGTTGATTCTTTCTTATTTTATCCTCAATAGGAGCAACAGTTAATTTACTACGGATGCACTTATTTTTTATCATATATTTTAGTGTATACTCACAAGACCATCGTAACCTTCTTGTTTCTGTTACATGTTTTTTAATTACCCAATATTCTGAGCCATAGAATATTGTTTGTCATATAATTGTCGTATAGAATTTTTTCTTCAGACTCATAGATAATCTATGATCACCTAATACTCTTGAAGCACTCCTCCATTTCAACCATTCCTATTTGATTCGATGGACAACATCATCCTGAAGCATTCCTCCATTCATGTATGTGTCTATAGTGAAATTTTGATAAAATGTTAATAGCTTTACTGTCTGGCCATTATGCAAGCAGTAGATAAATTTAAACTGTTAATATTTGGAAATTCTGATTATCTTCATGATTTGTGTGGCGAGGAACTGAGCCAGGATTCACACATGGGGGTAGTGGATAAAAAAAGTTAACTTAATTTGATAAACAAGGTGATTTGTGGTCAAAGGCCGAGGTGAAATAGGTGATTCCTTTGAATAGTAACTATATACATGTGAAAAATCCTTGATAATGTTTAAAAAACATTAGAAAATTTGATATTCACTTAAGATATTGATGTTGAAATTCCTATATTCTAATTCAAAATTGTTGAGATTTTAGATAGCGGTACCCTGAAGAGTAGTCAGACATTGAAACAAAAAATTTCTGACCTTCCATACAAATTAAAGACAGGTTCCTTGCAAAATTAAGGTGTTTTGGCCGTAATGGCTTGTACAGCATCTCTCTTGTCTATAATTTTGATGGAGTATTGTTTCTGAGCCTATTTGAACTTTTGCAGGTTTTATCCAGGGATGATGATGTTCCGCGTGGGTGTGCTTTTGATGTCGTAAATGAAAGTCTCTCTATGTACCTACAGCTCCAAGGAAAGCTTAATGCTGAAGTTGAACGAGAGAAGCTCAGGAAAATGAAAGAGGAAGTACAAAAGTGAGTTCCCACTGGTCAATATCTGTGAATGTTCTCTGTAGCATATTGAATGCTACTTGAAAATTTTGTTTTTGTTATTTTTCTAGAACCTTTTCTGTCAGAGTTTGAGAATAAAACAGAAGTTTGACATTAAAGAGACAAGGGTTACCTTAGGTACAGGCGCTTTGCACATCCACGTATTACATGGGCATCCAAAACTGATAGCACTTCTGTAACAAATGTGCTTTTTTTCTATATATTTTTTTTGCCTTTGTTTGGGTAGGGGGCAGCTAGGGGGGTGGGATGGCTTCTTGTATTTCTAATAGGTGTTTAGACCACTATGTTAGACTTAGTGAGATTTTCCTTATTTGAGAGAAGTTTTTATAAAGAACAATTTTAGAAATTAAATACCTATTTGTTTTCCATGAAATATTTCAGCCATTACGTTAGCCTTAGTGAGTTGTGCCTTATTTGAGAGAAGTTTTTATAAAGAACAACTTTAGAAATTAAATACCTCTTTGTTTTCCATAAAACATTTCAGCTATCTAATAGCTTACTTTGAGACAGGTGATAACACTTCTGTAACAAGTTTACAGTATTTTTTTTGTCCTTTATTTTTTTTTTAATTTTTTTTGCCTTTGTTTGGGTAGGGGGAAGGTAGGGGGTGGGTGGCTTCTTGTATTTCTAATTGGCCTTGAGACCACTATGCTGGACTTAGTGAGATTTTTCTTATTTGAGGGAATTTTTTCTCTTAAAGAACAACTTTAGAAAATAAACGCCTATTTGTTTTCCATGAAAATGTTCAATTATCTATTTGTCTCTTAGCTTAAGAATTGATCCATTTGATAATTCCAAGAGCGAAGCTTTCATGACCCTCTGTTTACAATGATAAATTAGCAGATCCTCTACTAAGCTGGACATAGTGAGATTTTTCTTATTTGAGGGAAATTTTTTTACCCTTAAAGAACAGCTTTAGAAAATAAACACCTATTTGTTGTCCATGAAAATGTTCAGTTAACTAAGTCTCCTAGTTTAAGAGTTGATCCATTTGATAATTCCAAGAGCAAAGTTTTTGTGACCCTCTGTTTACAATGATAAATTAGCAGATCCTCCACTCTTAGATCTGAACAATTTATATGTTTCCCCATATTCATTGTCATAGTTTAGAAAGCACAAAATATAGCATGGGACATGAAGAGGTTGGTAGCATTCCGAATGAGAGCTGAGGGTATTACAGGCTGAGAGATTCAGTTTTAGCTGCTTATCTGAGAAAGTGAGAAGTAGAGGGAGAATGAGTTCATAATGTTGATTCTAAGATCAAGAATGAATTGAGTGAAAGCTTGTTTCCTCTGAAGCCTTGTTTTTGCTGTTAGCTAACTAAAAATGCTGCCAGAAAATCTTTAGTGAAACAATTTGCAACAATACTTTGAGCAACCTTTTACCATTTCAATTCACCTATAATAATAGAATGAAACTTCATTGCAATGTTGTTCTCTGCATGGACTTGAATGTCTCTTTAATATTCTACTGGAGGTTTTGTTTACATCCGAAATCTTTTTATCTGCTAATTTTTTCGGTCACTATTTTTTGCAGGCGACAAGCGGACTTAACTCAAATAGTGACTGCTGCTGGGTACAGAGATAAAGCTCCCCAGCACGTACAAGACTTGAACATGAAGAAACTGAATGAGTGTATGAAGGAGCTGACAATCATTGAAGAAGAGGAGATCAAGCTTGAGAGGACAATAGCGGAACAAAATTGAAAAAAAAATTGTCGAGATTTATATGCGATTTTGCTAATTGTAAACTAGCAAACATCTGTTGCGAAAATTTGTAAAAGCAATTCATCATGCTTTTTGCATGTATTTTTATTATTTCCTGGCGGCCTGTTGCCTTGGACAAAGACAATTTAAACACAACATCTCTCTTGTTTGTGTTTGTTGGTTAGACATCTGTTTGCTTTTCCTCAACTATTTATGCACATAAACAATTTTTTTTATAAAAGTACACAAACATTTATAGCTTGATATTTAGAAGTTTGTAACTAGGTTAATTAATTTATGATGAGCAAATCCCTTGTTGCTATTATGGAAAGGCAGATTCTGTCTGGTTGATAGTAGTAAAACTGGATACAGAACTCGGTAAAGTAGTTCAAAATGAGCTGAGAAATGTGGTGTTTTTCTATTTTTAAGTAGTCATATGTTGCAGTTGGAATTTTTGTATTCTTTTTTTGTTCTATTTAGAAAATAGGTTGCATCTTGGTGCAGGTGGGAGTTATTATTTGCTTCATAGATCTGAAAAGAGATTATTTCTATTTTCTCTATATCTCTTTTAGCAGGTGTTTAAGGTATAATCTAATGTTTTACATTTCTCAGGTGCGTGTATTTAAAGATTCATATCTAGAGGTTTAGAGTAATTAATAGACTATAATTATTGGAAACAGGATCCAAAGTCAGTTTAAACTTAGTAAATTATTCTACCGACTAGTAAATTTGGAACTATCATTATCCGCTCAATTATCGTAGCTTCTTGGGCTGATTTTGCATTTTAGAATATACATATATTATTCATATAGCTTGATTGGAAGAAATATTTAAATAGACTCCCTAAGTTTACTCAAAAGTAACATTTGCCAAAAACCTTTCACAGTGAAAAAGAGCTACTTCTGTGTTTGGGAGTGCTGGAAACTTAGATAGTACTATCATTATCCATTTATTCTACCGACTAGTAAATTTGGATCATCCCAAGTTTCAAAAATCAAACCAGAGAAATGATAAGTTTAAAATATGATAAGAGAGGTTCTATGCGAAATTTTAATTTTAACTCTTTTTTGGGGGAGTTTATAGGTGTGTAGGCTGTCAAGAAAAAAATCACAATAGATAGTTTATCCCCATCAAACATCAACAAGGGAAGTTACAATTCAACGACTTCTAAAAGGCTATAATTTAAAGACTTTCACGTAGATCGATGAATGTTACAAATTGATGATCTTCACGACAACCGATGAAAGCTCTGATTAATGGTCTTCACAACCAATAATGAGAGTTGCAATCTGACGACTCTCACATTTTCAAGGAGTCAAGACGAAGATTACAAGATGACGATCTTTGCAAATGCTCAAAAGAGACTACAAATTGACATGGTCTCTTCAAATCAGAATATGGAGGTCCTCCCTGCGTTCCAAGACCAAAACACAAAGGTCCTCCCTGCGTTCCAAGACCAAAACACAAAGGTCCTCCCGGTGTTCCAAAATCAGAACACAAGGGTTGGATTCGCGTCCCAAGCTCCAAACACAGAGCTCGTGGTCGCATTCTTAGCTTGAAACGCAAAGCTTGTGGCTGTGTTCCAAAGTCAAAGCAACGCAACTTGTGCGTCTTCAACTTCAAAACGCAGCACAAACTCAGCCGCTAACGCAGCTTGCAAACTCTGCGTTCGAATGCAAAGTTCACGCCCCGAAGCAAAACGCAGTGTGGCCTCTGCGTTTCAGATTCAAAACACAGCGCGACCTTTGCGTTCCAGATTCAAAACGCAGTGCGGCCTCTGCGTTCTTAGTTCCAAGTGCGGGACAACCTTTGTATTCCCAGCCGCCAACAGGGATCCCAACCCTGCGTCCCGAGCTCAGGACGCAGAATTCATGATCAAAACGCCAGTTTTGGTGTTTGACTTGCTCAAATGTGAGCTGAACGGTTCCAAAAAACCGTTTCCACGATTTGAGGGGATCACTCCCCCACTTATGAGCGAATTAAGGGGGCGGTTACACCCCTTAATCCCCCTATAAATCTCAACAAACTCGACTGAGTTAAAGACTGACTTTTGGGATGGGAAAAAAGATCTTGCAGTGGATCATTGTAGACAATAAAAATTGCCTTTAAATCCTTATCAGAGAAATTCAGAACAAAACTGCTAAAAACCTCGCCCGAAATAGCAAAAAGGGGGAAAACACTGATAAAAAGGGGAAAACGCAGATATCTCCCAAACCGTCAGGAATTTGGCGAAACGGAGGAAGCGAACCAAAGCCTTTGGCTTGGTTCAGATGGCTCCATCTCGTCGAGATAGGCTATTTTCATATATAATTCGTCCAATTCCGACTTACGGTTTGAAAGTTACAGCCTATTCTTCGATCCATGCTCAGGAGCTCGCCTGCAACTCAAATTCGCCTGCCACGATCAAGACCCAAGTCTGCCTGCACACCTGAGCTCGCCTGCAGACCCAGTTCGCCTGCAAGCTCGCCTGCAGACCCAAGTCCGCTCTGGCACACCTGAGCTCACCTGCAGACCCAGTTCGCCTGCAAGATGCCTGCACGATCAAGACCCAAGTCTGCCTGCGCACCTGAGCTCGCCTGCAGACCCAGTTCGCCTGCAAGCTCGCCTGCAGACCCAAGGCTGCCTGCAGTCCCAAACTCGCCTGCAGACTCAGCTCGCCTGCAAGCTCGCCTGTAGACCCAAGTCTGCCTGCAGTCCTAAGCTCGCCTGCAGACCCAAGCTGCAGACTCGCCAGCTCACTGTCAACTGCCCACTTGGAGTATGGGAACAGTTACATCAGTGGTCAAATCCCACAAATCAAGGGAGAGGGCACAGTACCCCAAGACCGTCAGATGGACGTCCACAGTACGAATGAGCGGACAGGCGCCGAAACAGCCTGCATCCTCATAAATGCAGCTTACCTCACTTGTCCAAGCAGAAGGGAGGGCCGCCGGCACTCAGTGAGTTGGCCATATCCACTCGAGTACGAACCGACAAACCAACGAGGCGACGAGATCGACTAATCGCACGCAAGCAACGGAATACGTCCATTCGCGTGCGGGATCAAGCCAAGTGTTCGAAGAGTCAACGAGTCATCCAACCAAGGGCATACTCGGACGAATCACGATCGAATCAAGATCGGTTTCGGACTCAGATTCAGAAGTGGAATTACTGCCTAATCGGGATCCGGAATTACAGGAATCAAGTCAACAAATCGAATCCGAACCAATCAACCGCACAATCAAATCAAGTCCAGATCAACAACGAAGCACAGAACTGGACAACGAACACAACGGCGCCACACTCGGACGAATCGGCCAAAGCCAAAACCACCCAAGTGGCTCGGCTAAAGCCGAGCCACCAAGGGGTGGCTCGGCCATGGCCGAGCCACCCCATGGTGGCTCGGCCAAAGCCGAGCCCACCTAAAGTCCCCACACAAAACAAAGAGGGCCTTCCCTCTGCTTCTGTTGTAAACATTTGATTTGTTAGCTTGTAATAAGCTTTCTTATAAATACAAACGAAACTCCTTTCTTCGGAAGAATCAAATTTTCACCCTACATTGATCCATATAAATTTCTTCATCTAAGTCTCCATTTAAAAATATAGTTTTAACATCCATTTGATGTATTATTAATTTGTGAATGGATGCTAGAGCTATGAGGACTCTAATGGTAGTAATCCTAGCTACTGGAGAATAGACATCAAAATAATCAATACCAGACTTTTGGGTATATCCTTTAGCTACTAATCTGGCTTTATATTTATCTATTGTTCCATCAGGTCTAAGTTTCTTCTTAAACACCCATTTACATCCTATGGTTTTACATCCTGAAGGAAGATCAGTTAGTTCCCAAGTATGATTTTGAACTATAGATTGTATCTCATTATTTATAGCTTCCTTCCAAAATGGAGCATCTACTGATTTCATTGCATCTTCAAATGTAACTGGAGAATCTTCTACAAGTAATGCATAGAAATCTTCATGGACCTTTTCTATTCTAGTTCTTTTACTTCTCCTAGGCTCCTCTGGACTTTCTAGTGGTCTAATTTGTTTAGAACTAGTTTCACCTTGATTAGAACTAGGATCTGAATTATTAGAGCTAGGGCCTGTGTTGTTTATTCTGGTCTTGTAAGGAAAAATATTTTCAAAGTAATGTGCATCCCTAGCTTCAATTATGGTGTTGTTGGCTATCTCATTAATGTCAGAGTTGATTATTAAAAATCTATTTGCATTACTATCAGAAGCATAGCCAATAAAAATTCCATCTACAGTTTTAGGGCCAATCTTCTTTCTTTTATTCTCAGGTATTTTGACTTTTGCTAAGCACCCCCACACTTTTAGGTGATCTAAATTAGGGTTTCTATTCTTCCAAATTGTGTAAGGGGTTTTATCAGATTTCTTGAATGGAATTCTATTTAGTATATGACATGCAGTCATGAGAGCTTCTCCCCATAAATTTTCTGGCACACCAGAATTAATTAACATTGAGTTTACCATGTCCATTAGTGTTCTATTCTTTCTCTCAGCTACTCCATTAGATTGAGGTGTATATGGAGCAGTTATTTCATGAATAATTCCATTATCTTCACAGAATTGTTTTAATTCATTAGAAGTGTACTCACCACCTCTATCTGATCTTAGTATTTTAATTTTCTTATCCAATTGATTTTCAACTTCTGCTTTATATATTTTAAATTTGTTTATGACTTCATCTTTGGTCTTAATTAAGTAGAGGTAACAATATTTAGAGCAATCGTCTATAAAAGTTACAAAATATTTGTTACCCCCTCTAGTTGTTCTTCCTGAATCACAAACATCACTATGGATGAGTTCTAATATCTCAGAATCTCTATCAATAGTTTTAAATGGTTTCTTAGGAAGTTTGGCTTCTACACATATTTCACATTTTTCATCATCTTTTATATTAAGCTTTGGAATTATATTGAGATGCATCAATCTTTTAATTGAATTATAATTCACATGTCCTAATCTTTGATGCCAAGTGATGGAAGGTTCAATATTCAAAGCTATTGGAGATGCAAGAGTAGAATTCTTAACATTCAATTTAAAAAGACCATCACATAAGAAACCTTTTCCAATGAAGTTCAAACCCTTAGTTATTACAACTTTATTTGATTCAAAAACAAGCTTATAGCCTTGTTGCACTAACAAAGATCCACTAATTAAGTTTCTCCTAATGTCTGGTACATGATGGACATCCTGCAGGATCAAAGTCTTATCAGAAGTCAGCTTTAGGTT